TCTAGATATTTACAACAGTACTTTCTCAGACACTACATCCTTCTTCCTCTYAAAATGCGCATAGTTCCATTGTTTGCTCTGCATGTAAGAAGATTGTAGATCCTGATACACAACCCAAGACCAATTCACTCATCTGGACAAATAGGTTCCCTCTTATAATTTTTAAGTCTCCTTGGGAGGTTTAAGCAACGAAATTTTCCTAAACTATTAGGGAGCAAGTATCTTGTGGTGGTAGCAGCACCACCTCTAGAGTCAGATACCAATTATGTAGCCTGGTCTGCAGAGCACCACCACTTATTTTTGCTCCCTGTACACCAAGGGTCATTAGATTCTATATTTAAACTTTGTGGTTTCAAGAAATAGTTACTATTTTGCTGCACCATCCCAGGGCCTGGCACGTGCTAGGCAAGCACTCTACACATCCTGCCCACTAGTTCCAGTTTTATACAAAAGCAAACCAAGCATTGATTTGCTCATGATCACAGTCTACACACAAATCTAGGGTCTTATGACACTAAATGTATACTGTGYTTAAAGTCCATGTTCTGCTTCTATGCCCCCACCCCCCGAAATCAAAGCTTCAACCCTTTGGCCTAATATCCACAACCACTTGCAAGCTGATTGCTCTCTAGTTCCTCTAGGCTCAAGTAGCCTTCCTCTATGTCCTTTTCAAGCCATGAGAAGTAGKGTTTTAAGATCCACTAAAAAACGACATACGAAAGCACAGCCCTGAAGCTGAGTCTTAAGATAACATTTGTCTAAAATGGGACTACAGATCAAACAAGCACATAAAACTCACTATATTACATACCTCAATAGAGGGATAAGTTTAACATCCCCAACATCTGGAAGCTGAAACTCCCRTTTTTTGTTTGTTTTTGTTTTCTCTTCGTGGTGCTAGRAAGCCAACCCCAGGGCCTCATGTACACCACACAAGCACTCTATCACTGAGCTGTACTATCAGCCCCTCCCTGTCTTTATTTTATATAGCTAGATGCACTCTTCAACATGACCTCTTAGGGCAGAGAAGAAGAGAATTTGACAAACCACGTTCAACTCTTAGTTTATGTCTAGAAATAACACATGGCAGGCACGTCTACCCAAATTCCATTGCCYAGAACAATTTACATGGTCAAGCATGAGGACAACAGGACAGAGAACTACCATCCTCCCTCGGGGAAGTTYATTAAGAATTTTAGAACAATAAGGCCACAACAAGTCACTACACAGGAGGAAGAGAGCCCAGATTGGTGCAGACTAGACCAAGGTGAGGGAGGCACTAGAAGGAAACCCCCTGCCAAGGCAGAAGAAGAAATGATGCTGAAGGAGCGCCACCTTTGCCACCGTGTGCAGGATGGAGAATCAGTACTTACACAGCCCCAGCTCCTCCCAGCAATTGCTGACAATGGCACACCATATCAATGCAGATGCACAGGACCTCACTGTGGCACCCCGAGGGGTGCTTCTGCCAGTCCTGAGCTCAGCCCCCAGCCCCTGTCCCACAGTTGCTGCTTTCATTCAAAGATAAATACAATCTGAAAAGGAATCAGCACGTACTCTTTTGGATGTTAAATAAAAAGAATAAATTTGGACACACACACACTTGACAACACATATAATGATGAATTCAAGACGAATTACAGATTAAATGTGGTCAAACAATAAACCTYGGGAGTTGCAGGTAAATGGATGGAACTAGAGAATATCATGCTACATGAAATAAGCCAATCCCAAAAAACCAAAGGCCAAATGTTTTTTCTAATAAGTGGATCCTGATCCATGGGGGTGGGGGATAGGGTAGAATRAAGAAGAATGAAGGAACTTTGGATTGTGCAGAGTGGAGTGAGGGGAGGGACGGGGCATTGGGGATGAGAAGGACGGTAAATGAGATGGACCTTATTATCCTATCTGCATATATGATTATATTATTGAATGATTCTGCACCATGTACAGCCAGTGGAATGAGAAGTTATGCTTCATCTGTGTACAACATGTCAAAATGCATTCTACTGTCATGTATACATGTATAATTAGAACAAATCAAAAATATAAAGCTTAGGGGGGCAAAAGAAGATTTTCAAAACTTGAGGCAAATATTTCTTAAACAGAATACAAAAAGCACTAACTATATTGGACTTCATCAAGATTAAAGATTCTTGTTCAATGGAGGAAACCAAAGAAGTAAAAGGGCAGTTSTGTAATTGAGAAAATACTAATACATGAAACATGCACTAGAATCCAGGTATATAAGGAACTCCCACAATTCAATGAAAATTCAATTTCTAAAATGAACAGGCACTTCACAAAAGATAGCCAAAAGCATATATATATCCGAAGTTTACAGAAAAGGTGTTCAAAATCATTTATCAGGGAAACAAATGAAAACCACTGGGAGATACTACTGTGCATCCACCTGTGCCTGAAATTAAGACTGACAATACCAAGTGTTGGAGAAGATGTTAAATCAGAACTGTCGTATCACCAATGGAAGTAAATAGTAGAAATATTTACTAAAACTTCACACATAATCAAGCAAAGTAGTGCACATTTGTAATTGCAGTTACTTGGGAGTCTGAGGCAGGAGGATCACAAATTCAAAACCAGCCCAAGCCAGGCATGGGGGCACACACCTCTAATCCCAGTGACTTGTCTCGGGAGGCCAAATCAGATGATCTCAAGCTCAAAGCCAGCCTCAGAATTTAGCAAGGCCCTAAGCAACTTAGTGAGACCCTGTCTCCAAATTTAAAATTTTTATGGGTTGGGGCTATATGGCTCAGAGGCAGAGTGTTTGCCAAGCACATGTGAGGCCCTGGGTTCAATTCTTAGCACCACGTAAAAATAAACAAATGAAATAAAGCCATTCTGTCCATCTACAACTAAAGAAAAATATTAAAAAAGAAACAAGAGTGAGTAAAACTGAGACGATCTAATGGATCCATGGATTATGTCAATGTCAATATCCTGGCTGTGAAATTTTGCAAAATATTTCTATTGAGAGAAACTGAGTCAATATACTGGATCACTTTGTACTATTTCTTTTTTTGTCGGGGGAATTGGGGATTAAACTCAAGGGCACGTTATCATAGCCCCAGCCCATTTAACTTTTTATTTTAAGACAGGGTCTGGTAAAGTTGCTGGTGCTGGCCTTGAATTTGTTATCCTTCTGCCTCAGCCTCTACAGTCACTGGGATTACAGGCGTAAGCCACCATGCCAGGCAATCTTTGTGTTATTTCTTACAACTGCATGTAAGTCTACAGTGATCTCAATAGCATTTTCTTTTTAAAGGCGGATGGGGCAGGGTGGGGGCGGTGGCAGATGAAGACAGGGGATTGAACTCAGGGTGCTCAACCACTGAGCCACATCCCAACCCTATTTTGTATTTTATTTACAGACAGGATCTCACAGTTGCTGAGGCTGGCTTTGAACTCATGATCCTCCTGCTTCAGCCTCTCTTCCTTGTGCTGGGATTACAGACATGTGGCATTGCGCCCCAGCTCAAAAGCATTTTCAATTTAAAAAATAAGACTTGGGTGTCTGAGGYATTTCCAGTGTCTCCTCATCACTGAGGATCTCTGATGCCTAGAAAGGTAAGTGTAGTGGACAGACAGTCCCCAAAGCACAAGCGAGGGAATTCTAACGCCAGAGATGCCGGGCGTGGTGGTGCACACCTGTAATCCCAGTGACTGGGAAAGCTGAGGCAGGAGGATTACAAGTTCAAAGCCAGCCTGGGCAATTTAGCGAAGCCCTAAGCAACAGTAATACCCTGTCTCAAAATAGAAAATAAAAAAGGGCTGGGGACTTAGCTCCTTTATAGAGCACCACTGGATTCAATCCCCTGTACAGGAAAGGAAGGAAGGAAGGAAGGAAGGAAGGAAGGAAGGAAGGAAGGAAGAGGGGGAAGAGAGAGAGGAAAAAAAAGAAAAAAGCAAGCAAGCAAGCCAGAGATACTGTGGCACACTGCCAAAGACAGAAGCCAGGGCTCTGGACACTCATTCTTCCATTCAACAGATATTTATTGAGAGCCTACATTGCCTCAAAAACTAGTCTAGAATCTAGGCTCTGGGGTCATGGTCATGAACACTCAGGCCACCCCTCTGTTGTACAGAAGACCACAGCCCAAGGAGGTGAAAACTGGCCCCCACACTCCTGGGTAAAAGAGACTCCTGGGTCACTGGCCCGAAGCAGGAACATAGGGACAGAGACCAGTAAAAATAGTGAGTCAAGCAGTTTTAGCCCCCTGGGACTCTGGACAAAGATGCCAAACCTCCTAATGCTCTTCCTGGGAGGGAGAGCGGTGTTCCGCTCCGCCCAGGGCCAAACCTAAAAATAACGGGATAAACACCGGCTGGACTACTGCGGTCAGGTTCAGGGCTCAGGGCTCCGGGGTTGGCCAAGATTGACAGCTGCCAAAAACTACAACTCCCAGGGTGTCCTGCGCCCCGCCCAAACCGGGMGGTCACGTGACCCGCACTCACGTGGCTGCCCCGCCGGCTCGGGACCAARCACCGTAGGTAGGTGCTGAGAGGTAGAGGCGGCGGGGGGTGGGGGTGTCAGGTTCCCGGGTGCCCGAGTGTCCCCGCCGCGGCCGAGCTCTGATTTCCTGCAGGGTCGGAGCCGGTCCTCGCCGCGCCCAGCCTTTTGTTGCGCCACCCCTGCGCGCCTTAGCCCGGCGGGACTCCACCTAGTCCTAGGCCGGGATCGAGTCCTCCGATCGCCTCCCCAGTTACCCCCAAGTGTCCGGCCGGTCTCGCCTCAGGCCTGGGAATCGGCCCCCGCCCCTGACTTAGCTCCCAGTGCAGCCCAACCCTCGTATTTCAGGGCTCCAACCGCAGGCTGGACTGAGAACCCACTGGGAATGGGAGCTGAGGGGCCTACTGCATGTAGACTTTAGGCTTCCACCTTGACCCTGCCAGCTACCCACCGTGACCTTAGTTTAGTCGCTTTCCCTCCCCGCCGGCCCTTTTTCCTCTGATCTGGCCCTCTGTTCCATGAGTTAGTGTCAGAGCCTGTCAGTGCCCCCACCCCCTGCAGCTGAAGCCGGCCCAGAAACAGCCCACACTTTTCTCTCTTGACTGCAGATTTTGAGTAACATCTTGAGAAAGAAGAACTTGAGACCACAGAGGGAAGTAAAAAGAATCTGATACCAGCCCTTTGGGGAGAAAAAGCATACCCCTTTCACCAGAGTCAAGCAGGTGAGCTGGAACAATGGAACTGAGTAATTGGAGGGAGGGAAGGAGAGATCTTTGACCAACTCAGAGTCTGCAGAGGGTGGAAACTCTCAGCCTTTGAACTGATCTCCCTGAGGACCTCAGGCTGAGGTCCTGTGGTAGGAGAGGCTGGGCAGATGGTTCAGGGCCGGTGCAGGGGTGCCAAAGGAAAACCTACTGTCTGGAGAGTCGGGAAGCTGCACCGAGCTGTGTGACCTTAGACCAATCACTCAGTAGACCCCTGTCTGTGGTGTGAACAGGGACCAGGAGATGGTCTTGGATCTCCCTGGAACTATGCTGGAAGCCTGGGAGCCGCCAAGAACCTGCTCTCGCTAGTCACTGCCTTTTTTTTTTTTTTTTTTTTTTTGCTGAGTTGGTGGCTGGAGGGCAGGTTGCATAAGAGGAAGAAGTCCAGTGGCATAGACTGTCTTTCTGAATCTGCTGCCAGCAGAGGGATGTTCCCTCTGGGACTGTGTCCCTTGGTTACATTCTTGATGATAGACATCTGAGAGCAGCTGAACTTTCCTTCTCATGAGGTCACTATTCCCAGTCTGTTTGTTCATCATGAGAAAGAGATATTGGGAAGCATTTCAAGGGGCCTTATTAACCATTCTAGACCACCAGTGGACTGATAGTATCAGAAGGGATGGCCCTACAATGGACAGTGTTCAGGTTGTCATTATGAATCTGATCAGTTCACTTCTTTTTTKGGGGGAGGGGAGGTACCAGGGATTGAACTCAGGGGCAYTCAACCAATGAKCCACATCCCCAGCCCTATTTTGTATTTTATTTAGAGACAGGGTCTCACTGAGACGCTAAGCGTCTSTCGGTTTCTGAGTCTGGTTTTGCATTAGCGATCCTCCTGTCTCAGCCTCCCCAGCTGCTGGGATTATAGGTGTGTACCACCATGCCCGACTCAATTCACTTCTTTATGAGTAAGTGGGGTGCAGTGTCACATACCTGTAATCCCAAAGATTTGGGAAGATGAGGCAKGAGGATCACAAGTTCAAGGTCAGCCTCAGCAAGTTTGAGGCCAGCCTAGGCAACTTAGTGTGACTCTGTCTCAAAATAAAAAATGGGCTGGGGTTGTGGCTCAGTGGCAGAGCACTTGCCTAGCACGTGCGAGGCCCTGGGTTCAATCCTCAGCACCACATTAAAATAAATAAATAAAGGTATTGTGTCCAACTACAACTAAAAAATACATATTTAAAATAAATAAATAAAAAGGTCTGGAAATGTAGCTCAATGGTAAAGTGCTCCCAAGTTCATTCCTAGCACAGGGCCAGGATTGGGTGGTGGGAGGGGRTAAAAACAAGATAGTAGAGAATAAAATATAGTTTTGTGTTAATACCCTGGGWTCAGGATTCAGCAAGGATAGGAGAAGGAGCTTTTAGCAGATTTTKCAGTCTGGGAGGTAATAAGCCAGAAACAGTCTTTGGGACAGAATGCTCCTGACTCCCCACTAAGCACTCAGCCCTACCCTTTCTTGCCTTTTTTTTTTTTTTTTGGACAGGCCTAGTTGTTAGGGATTGAACCCAGGGCACCTCATGCATGCTAAGTACACAGTCTCTCACTGAGCTCCATTCCCCAGCCCAGCCTCTGGCCTTGATCTTGCTCTTCCTCCCAGTAGTTGTCCCAGTGCCTATGCACCTCATTGCTACCTGACCAATGGCACCAGGCTAGTGTTTGATGAGTATTCTCTCTGCTTGCTTAGGATTGAGAATCATAGGCATGGTATGGGATGACAAAATGGGAAGGGATATTTCCAAACATAACAGAAGCAATGATTTGAGGGGCAGAGATTATTAATGGAGATTGAACCCCAGAATGCCCTAAACATGCACTCTACCACTGAGATGTACCCTCAGCCTGGTTCATTGAGGACTAAGCCCTTACTATTATTAATAGACTCCATAGATGGAAAGACTCAGAGGTGAGGCAAATGCAAATGGACAGAAGTTCTAGGGCCAAACAGACCTAGTTTTGAATCCCGGCTCCTCCACTGACTGCTATGTGACCCAGGGTAGAGTGCTTCATACCTCTGGGATTTGGTTTCCTCTTGGTAAAATAGTGACAGTCGTGTCTAGTCTACTTTTTAGGGCCACATTGACAATTGAATGAGATGATGCATCCCCTAGCCACAGCAGTAATGATCAACAGTGCAATGAAGACCACACATTGAGCCCCCCCAGTTTTGCAGTGTAGCTGAGAAGAGGACCCACAGCTGTGAAACGCCAGCACAAGAGAATGTCTGAGTGGTGCTGGGCCCTTGGGTGGCTCCAAGGAAGGCTCAGTGAGCTGAAGAAAAGGGGAAGACATGGGCCAGGGTGGCTGGCCAAGAGGGACTAGGAGCATTCCAAGCATAGGATTAGTAATTATTTTCCTGGGGACCCAAATGTGACAGATGTGGGGATCTTGTCTTGTGGCAGAAATTGAAAATGGCCTGAATTTTGAAGGGCCTTGAAAGCCACACAGAATTTAGGCTGTGGGCCGCATCGAGGCTGGGCTATAGTGCATTGAAACACCCATAGTCCTTGGTAAGAATACCTCGTTTAAGGACGCTGCAGTCTAGAAACAGGCTGGGAAGACAGACAGGTCTGGATTCAGATCCTGCACCACAGATTCCTAGTATATGATCCTGGGTCAGTGATTTGATCTCTCCAAACTTTTTGACCATGAGGTTGTCACGGGATTGAATGAGATAAGATAACATCCATGACACACCTCCCCCATGGGGGCCCCTCTCCAGTGCTGACGTGTTAGTACTCCTGTCTTTTATGTTTAGGTCTTATTTATTCTACTGCTCTGTAAGGCTGAAACAAGCAAGATTTGTACCTGACATTGCTTTCTTTTTATRCTAAGGATTTAACCAAAGGATTTATAAAGCACCAAGCTATATCCCCATCCTTTTTTATTTTTATTTTGAGACAAGATCTCCTCGAGTTGCTTAGGGTCTTGCTGCATTGCTGAGGCTGGCCTTGAACTTGCAATTCCCCTGTCTCAGCCTCACAAGTTGCTGGGATTACAAGCATGTGCCTCCACACCTGGCTTGCATCTGACATTTCTGTGTCTGCCATCCCACACTGTGGCACCCATTGTGATGTTCTGAGCGGAAGTGCTCCTCAGTTTGAATCCCTGCCATGTTATTTCACCTCTCAGCCTCCCCATCTCAGGATAACAGCAGTACCTGTCTTTGTCCCATCTAGGTTGACAAGAGTCCTTATAAGTTAATAGCTCTGAACAGACATTCCTTCAGCTACCACAGGATGTGGCTGTGAGGCAGAACTTTCCAGAGCCCTTGCAGGAAGAAAGAAGGCCCTGGGCCATGGCCCAGGTCAGCATTAACAGTGACTACAGCGAGTGGGGCTCAAGCACAGATGCTGGGGAGCGGGCCCGTCTGCTGCAGAGTCCCTGTGTGGACACGGCCCCCAAGAGTGAAGGCGAGGCTTCCCCGGAAGGTCTGGACAGAGGAACCACTTCCACGCTTGGAGCCATCTTCATCGTTGTCAACGCCTGCCTGGGCGCAGGGCTGCTTAACTTCCCGGCAGCCTTCAGCACCGCCGGGGGCGTGGCAGCTGGGGTCACGTTGCAGATGGTGAGTGTGATGCTGGGCAGAGGCACAGCACAGGTGGGCCCTTTGGATCAAAGACAGTCAAMAGGAGACAATCTGCCCTTCTTCCTTCCCTTACACATGAAAGATACTACCCGTCTATTCTAGTACTCTTCACCCAGCCCAAATGAAATAGCAGAAACCTTCCTGACAATCAGATTTGGACATCACCATACTTAATTTTTTAGGCATTTCTGTGATTTTCTGGTTATGTTAAAAGAAAGGGGGTGGGGGCTGGGGTCATAGCTCGGTGGTAGAGCATTTACATAGCATGTGTGAAGTACTGGGTTCAGTCCTCAGCACCACATTAAAAAAATAAATAAATAAAAGGTATTGTGTTCATCTACAACTAAAAAATAATAATAAATAAATAAGTAATGATGCCATTAGCTGGGCTCAGGGGGTTCGAAACCTTGAGGTCAGCCTGGGCAACTTGGCAAGACCCTGTCTCAAAATAAAATGTGCTAGCTGGGTGTGGTGGTCCATGCCTGTAATCCCAGCAACTCACGAGGCTGAGACAGGAGGATCACAAATTTGACACCAGCCTCAGCAACTTAATGAGACCTTGTCTCAAAATAAAGAATAAAAAGGGCTGGGGATGTGGCTCAGTAGTTAAGCACCACTGGGCTCAATCCCCAGGACCAAAAGAAGAAAAGAAAAAACAAATAACTGGGTTACTTGAGGCTGTAGCTCCGTGGTAGGGTGCTTACCTAGCATGCACAGGGCTCTAGCTTCAATCCCAGCACCACAAAAATAAAATAAAATAGGACTCTTATCTTTCAGTACAACTGAAATATTTACTGACAAAATGACACATAGCTTGTATTGGCTTCAAAGTAATCCTGAGTAGGAAGGGAAATAAAATGTAACAAGATTGTGAATTGGTTATTTTTGAAGCTATGTAATGGGCACATAGGGGACTTTACTGTTATTTTATTCTGTCTGGTCTGTCTACTTTTGTATGTTTGAAAGTTGTCACAAAACTTTGTTTAAAAAAAAAATCTCCCCTTGGCAACCTCTAGCAATCTATTAAAATTGCCATGCAACCCGAGACCCATTTGCCGAAGCCACTTTGGGCATTGGCCCCTTAAGTGCTCAGGATGCCTTTGGCTGCCAGCTCTTCCCACACCGTCTCGCTCTACCCCTGCCTTAGGGTATGCTGGTTTTCATCATCAGTGGCCTCGTCATCCTGGCCTACTGCTCCCAGGCCAGCAATGAGAGGACCTACCAGGAGGTGGTGTGGGCCGTGTGCGGCAAGCTGACGGGCGTGCTATGCGAGGTGGCCATCGCCATCTACACCTTTGGCACCTGCATCGCCTTCCTCATCATCATCGGGGACCAGCAGGACAAGAGTGAGGTTCTCCCTGAAGCAACTACCTTGTCTGTCCCCCTCAATCCTAGGGGTGCTGGGGTGGAGGGAAAGGTGTTGAACATTCATCTAGGAATCCTCCTGCCAGGCTGCTGGATTCATCAGAGGGAGGTCCTGGGGCCCAGCGGAGCAGGGTGGTGGCCTGGCATGACATTTCCTCTTTCCTCCCTGTGCAGTTATAGCTGTGATGGCAAAGGACCCCGAGGAGGCCAGCGGTGGCCCCTGGTACACAGACCGAAAGTTCACCATCAGCCTCACTGCCTTCCTCTTCATCCTGCCCCTCTCCATCCCCAGGGAGATTGGCTTCCAGAAATATGCCAGGTTTGGAGCCCCGCCCCAGCCTGGGCAGGACAGAAGCTCTGCTCGTGGGCAGTTGGAGACCCTCTGTCTACTGGGCAGCTCCTTCCCTCCATGACAACTCACCTTCTCAGGGAGCAGACGTGGGCCAGGCAGAGTAGACCAAGCTTTGCAGGGTTTCAGGCCCAGGACCTTCTTTTTCTGTCCACCACCAAAGGAGAGAGTGGCCCTTTGCTTGGATGGGAGATGCAGTTCTAAATGTCCTCATTAAAGACTGGTGACAGCCGGGAGTGTGAGGGCAGCCTGTGGACCTGGCCTTGGCTCTCTCTTGGGGGGTAGTATTTGAGTCATTTGTGGTTGTGGGCCTGGCAGCATCTTCCATGTGGCTCAGCGTGAAGGGAGGAGACTGGCTGCCCTGCGCGGTACCTGACGAGCTGTGGGGTCGAGGCCTTTTCCAGGTGTAAAGGGAAGGGGCACACTCGGCTCTCCCCATGACCCCCTTCAGTGTCAACCTTCCAGTAACTGAACTCTCACCCTTTACCTTTGGTATCTCCTAATTCTCAAGGCCAGGCCCAGAGCATGGCCTGCTGGTAGCCCTGGCCAAGTCTGGCCTGCTCAGATTGGAGTTGCAGGAGCACTTGGAGCTCTGTTCTCCACTTGATCTCTGAGCCTTGGGGCCGAATGAGTGCATGTCCCAGTGGCCAGAAATGCTGATCAGGTCACTGTTGGCCGTCCAGCTCCCTCCTAGCTGTGGCAGGTCTCCCTGGGACTCATTTCTCAGGCATTTCCTGAGTCTTTTCTTGGCATAGTCCCCTAGTGTTCAAGAGATGCTTGTGGTCCCTAGAACTGGGGGTGGACCATCCCCAGCCACCCAGGAATGGAATCAGACTAAGGGCAGCTGAGGCTCTGGGGAAGAAGAAATCAATCTCTCCTTCCCGGCAGCTTCCTGAGCGTCGTGGGCACCTGGTACGTCACTGCCATCATTATCATCAAATACATCTGGCCAGATAAAGAGATGACCCCAGGAGACATCCTGACCAGGTGGGTAAGGGCCCCTGGGGAAACACAAGAATAGAAGCTGCCGCCTGGGACCCAGGAGGTGCTGGGTCAGGCATTCAGAAGCCACACGGGTGCTCCTTAGCTCATCAGGGATACTTCATCTGTCACTAGGAAGGAGCGAGAGGACCTGGTCTCTTTTTGCTGGAGGGAAGAAGGAGAGCTAGAGGCAGGAGGAGACTCTGCCATGAACATCCAACAGATGAGCTGGCACTAGACCAGGCCCCAGCTTGTGGAAACTGACAGGTGGAAAGGCACATTTTTCCATCTGTGTTTATCATCTATATGAGGATGAAGCTGATTTGTCATTTTTTTCCCTCAAATTCCCCCTTTTAAAGGGGGAAAAAATAAATAAATAGAACAAACCAGAAAAACAAAGCCCCAATCCAGAAGCCAGGAATTCTGGCTTTTGGTCCAGGAAGGCCTTTCAGAGCCTCAGTCTGTTGGGCTGGGAAAGGAGATGTCTGTTCTTACGTATGGAGGATGCTGTTGGTCAGAGGGTAGGGTGAGCGAAGGAGGGTTGTGCTTGGGCATGGTCAACGGCTCTGAGAGGTTCACGAGCAGCTGCACGCTGTGTTTGTCCACAGGCCGGCTTCCTGGATGGCCGTGTTCAATGCCATGCCCACCATCTGCTTTGGATTTCAGGTGCCAGCTACGAGGTCCCTACTGTCCCCTTAATTCATTCACTACCGGGGCTGTAACCCATGTTACAAACAGAATGGGGGGAATCCTGGGAGGAAGGATAAAGTGGGAGCCCCAGGACTTGTCCTTTGTCCCTGGGGCCTTTGTCCCCAAGGTACATTCCTCTGGAAACTGGGGATGTGGTCATTTCCCCACTGTGACCATGCCCTTCACCCGGACAGTGCCACGTGAGCAGTGTGCCCGTCTTCAACAGCATGCGGCAGCCCGAGGTGAAGACTTGGGGTGGGGTTGTGACAGCCGCCATGGTCATAGCCCTGGCTGTCTACATGGGCACAGGTGAGTGCACCCCTCCAAGGGCCAGGCTTTGAGTGCTCCCACTCCCCCTCGCGTCCCCACGTCCTCTGGCCCAGCTTTCCTGAGGACAGCCTGCATTTCCAGCACAGCAAGCCCCCTGTAGACGTTGGCTTGCACTTGGGCTGCCAGGGGGCCACGCACTGCCAAGATGAGAGGGGCAGGTCCATGCATCCATTCATCAGTTCCAAGTCAGAGCCCAGTAAGTGCCAGGAACTGTTCTCAGCATGGGGACGCATGGAGAAAGGAAGACCTGGTCCTGCCCCTGCCAGGTGGACAGTGTCATTGGAGAGACAGTTATGAGCGAGTGAATAAGGAATCAGAAGTAGCAAGTGCCATCGTGACAGTGAAACCAAGAAGGAGTGAATGGGACCATGTGGGTGTAGCTTTCACAGAAGGCTCCTCTCTAGGAGGTGGCATGTGGGGAGATGCAAGTGACAAGGAAGTCAGAACATGAAAARTCAAAGAGGAGCTTCCAGACCGAGGTGCTGCAGGATGCCAGGTCTCTGAGGCAGGGATAGAATGGGGCTGTGTGTAGCTGGGATCCGAGGAGTGGGGCAGGTGGCAGGAAATGGGGAGGGGGCAGGTGCTCTGGGGAGGCAGAGAGGAAGCATTTCATGCGGGGGCACTGCTGAGAGGCAAGAGGCTCTGGCTGCTGGGTGGGTGGTTTGTATGAGGATGAGGACTGAGAGCCCTAGAGGAAGAACCCTGCCACCCTCCCTTGGAGGGAAGGGCACACACAGCTGCTGGGCCAGAACCGTTCCAGCCTCTGAAGTCACAGCCAGGAGCCAACAGGCAAACTGGCCAAGTCCCTTGTTCTCTTGGGACTCATGTTCTGCCTGGGGAGACAGAAAATACACCAATTAAAAAGACAATTCAAAAGGAGCCAGGATGGGGGGCGCACGCCTGTAATCCCAGCAACTTGGGAGGCTGAGGCAAGAGGATCACAAGTTTCAGGCCAGCGTGGACAACTTAGTGAGACCCTTTCTCAATAAATAATAAGGGAGCCAGGCACAGTGTCACACACCTGTAATCCCAGTAGCTCGGGAGGCTGAGGCAGGAAGATCGTGAGTTCAAAGCCAGCCTCAGTAACAGTGAGACCCTAAGCAATTTAACGAGCCCCTGTCTCTAAATAAAAATATTAAAAAGGGCTGGGGATGTGGCTGAGTGGTAAAGCACGCCTGAGTTTAATCACCAATGGCCCCCCACACACACCCCCAAAAAAAGACAATTCAAAGAGTTGCGTGATGTGAAGAAATAGAACTGGGTGACAGCCAAGTGCCTGGGGTGAGTATGATTGTGGGTGTGCAGGGCAGCATTCCTTCAGCAGGGGACATCTGAACTGAGTCCTGAGTGATGAGATGGCAGCGTGAAGACTGAACAGTTAGTGCAGAAGTCTGGGACAGGAATGTACTGGGCAAGTTCAGAGAAGGGGCATGTGGGGGGCTGGCGGGCTTCCAGCAGAGGATCTGCGAAGGCAGGARGAGACCTCTGTTCCCAGCTCAACGCCCCCAGGACCCAGGCTAAGCCTCCAGAGCTGCTCCAGCTACATTTATCAGGAGAGGACAGTCCACCCTGCTACCCTTGCAGGGTGGCCCCAACCTAGCCCCCGTCCCTGCATTATAGGCATCTGTGGCTTCCTGACCTTTGGAGCTGCTGTGGACCCCGATGTGCTCCTGTCCTACCCCTCCGAGGACATGGCTGTGGCTGTTGCCCGAGCCTTCATCATCCTGAGCGTGCTCACCTCCTACCCCATCCTGCACTTCTGTGGGCGGTGAGCCCCCTCCCCACGCCACCCAGACCCCCTGGAAGCCCATGGACTTGTATGGAACCTGTTCTGAGGAAGGAGAAACTGCAGCCCCTAGAAAAGAATCCCTATCTAGGATAGTCCCCATTCCAAGCTGGGGCTCAGGAGTAGGCGTTGTCCCAGGGTCACCAGAACATTCCGAGTCCTCCAGGAACCACTAACCCTCATCTTTCTTGAGCTTTTAATTATTTTTTTAAAGTTATTTTTTGTAGTTGTAGATGGACAGCGTGCCTTTATTTTATTTATTTATTTTTATGCAGTACTGAGGATCAGACCCAGTGCCTCACACTTGCTAGACAGATGCTCTGCCACTGAGCTACAGCCCCAGCCCCCCGAAGTGTTCCTTTTAAAGAAAATAATAGTGTCGGTCTCCATGTGATGAAACGAAGCACTGAGTCCTTCACAGTCACCCTCATCCAGCCCCAGGGTGCCCAGGGCAGTGTGGGTAAGCCCATCTTAGGCTCAGGGATTAGGGCCTTACCCACAATCTTCCCAGTTTATGGTTTGGCTCCTGTGAGCCAGAGGTGGGGGTTTTGAGCAGGGGTGCCCCTGAACCCCTCCTCCTGTGCACAGGGCAGTGGTCGAGGGCCTGTGGCTGCGCTACCAGGGGATGGCAGTGGAGGAGGACGTGGGGCGGGAGCAGCGGCGGCGAGTGCTGCAGACGCTGGTGTGGTTCCTGCTCACCCTGCTGCTGGCGCTCTTCATCCCTGACATCGGCAAGGTCATCTCGGTCATCGGGGGCCTGGCCGCCTGCTTCATCTTCGTCTTCCCAGGTGCGCACCCCTGGCATCCCTGTCTGATGGCCCTGTAGTACCRACTCCAAGGACCCTCTGGCCTCAGCGCCCCATGGGCTCTAAACCTGCCAGGGAGGGTCACCCCCAGCTCTCGCACTCTCCCTTGTCTTGATGAGAAAATGTGAAGTCCAGAGAGAATACAGACCTTCCCAGAGAGGTTAATGATCTCAACGAATAAGTAACAAGTCTTTTCAAACCCACGTCAGTGGTGCCAGGGCCTGTACTTCTATGTGTTCTTCTCTATTAGAATCTGGCTGGTTCTGCTCAATACAACCCAGAGGTCAAAGGGGCAGGGTGTTGACACCTGGATGTAGAGGTAGACACGGGTCTTTTGCAGATCCCTGGGAAACAGCCCCACCTGTTTCTGTGCAGGCAACCTCCTTGAAAGTCCTTCCCACTGCACACAGAGCAAGGGAGCTGCTGCTCTCTGCTTAGGCATGTGCTTGCTTCTTGGCCTGTCCTTAGAAAGCAGAGGCCAGGCTCCAGCAGGGTGTTAAGTCAGGGGCAGAGGCAGAATTTCTGGGAGAGTAAACATGACTTTCTCTACCACCCTTTTGGTAAGAGGGGTCTGGGATGAGGGTAGATCCTCTGCTTCTTACAACCTCAGAGCCACCTCTTCTCCTCCAGGTCTGTGCCTCATTCAAGCCAAACTCTCTGAGATGGAGGAGGTCAAACCAGCCAGGTAAAGCAGGGCCAGGGGCTGGGGATGTGGCTCAAGTGGTAGCGCGCCATGCCTGGCATGCGTGCGGCCCGGGTTCGATCCTCAGCACCACATACCAACAAAGATGTTGTGTCCGCCGATAACTAAAAAAAAAATAAATATTAAAGCAGGGCCAGCCTTGGATCCTCTGGGAGGTGGGGTATGGGAGGCAGGGGGTGGGAGTCAGTAGAAGACAATAAGGAGTCTTTTGCATGCTTTTAAAATCATGGGCTTTTAAAGCTAGGCATGGAGGTGCACACCTGTAATCCCAGCTACTTAGGAAGCTGAGTCAAGAGGATTGCAAGTTCATTGCCAGCCTGGGCAGCTTATCAAGATCCTGTCTCAAAATAAAAGTTTTAAAAAGGGCTAGAGAATAACTCAGAGGACTTAGAAGTGGTGCATTTGTCTAGCATGTGTGAAGCCCTGGGTTCAGTCCCCAGCACTACGAAGAAAGAAGGAAGGAAGGTAATTATAGAAAACTTTAAAAATACACGCAGGTCTAAAGAAGCAAATGAAAATCACCCTTATTCTCAGGACCAAGTAATAACCCTGTTCTGGTTTTGATACATCTATTTGCAGATGTCTGCATCCCCAGTCCTTTAATTTTTGAGACAGGGTCTCGCTAAGTTGCTTATAGCCCTCCTAGGTTGCTGAGGCTGGCTTTGAACTTGCTATTCCCCTGCATTAGACTCCCAAGTCCCTGAGATTACAGGCATGTGCCATTGCACCCAGCTTGATTCTTTTTTTAAGGAAATGTATCACATCTTATGTAGCTGGCTTTTTTCTGAACATCTTCCCATCAGGAGGCCTGTGCACTAATCCTGGTCCTGCCCTTAGCATCCTGTGACCAGTCAGTTCATCCATTAGGTATTGGTCTCCTTACCTGTGGACTAAAGATAATACACCTGGCTGAACACACATGCCTTTTTATGGAAAAGTCCTTGACAAGTCAACAGTGGAATAAGTAATAAGGGTACCTAACTTCCATATATATGTAAGTCAGAAGAGACGTGAACAGGATGACTGATCAGTTCCTTTTCATCCTCTGTTCTTCAGCTGGTGGGCATTGGTCAGTTATGGAGTCCTCTTGGTCACCCTGGGAGCCTTCATCTTTGGCCAGACCACAGCCAATGCCATCTATGTGGATCTCTTGGCATAACCACTGCCTCCCAGGAAGCACATGGCCTTGACCATTGGACCCAGGAATTCTCTCTTAGAGCTATGGGGCCACCCAAGTCCAACATCATTCCAGCTGGTGKGATGACACCAGACATCCTTTTCCAGGAATACTTCTGGGGCAGAATCAGGCCCCACACCTGTGGACAGTTCAAGTTTAGCTCTCTTCCTGCTCCCCAGCCATGGCTACGCTATGGGTGGTGGCAAGTCTATGTCACAAAGGAACTTCTTTCTCCTAACTCAACTTCATGCCTGCAACCCCCACGGGTAGAGGATCAGCAGGTACTAGAAGAACCAGTCTGATTTCCCTCTGGAGAAAGACCACATTGGAAGGGCCAGTGTCCTCCACAGAGCAGCCTGTCCTGAGTTGGGGTTGGGCATATACCCTCAGGCTCAGTGCTTGCTCCAGCCCATCAGCAGCCATGGACAGTATTGGCTTCTTCTAGGATCTGGCAATTTCCAAAGGTAGAGCTGAAGTCTTACAAATGGGAAGAAATAGGTAGATGCTGGCCTTGTCCATTCCCTCTTGGACCCCTGATGGCCTCTTTCYCATGGCTGGCATTTCCCAAATCTTTAGGGACTGACTTTCTCCAAACCTGATGGTCCAGGTTGAGCACCCTCTCTTCCYCCATCCCCAGGTCTCACCAACTCTAATGTTTACAAATGGCGCCAGCCTGGTTCTGAAGCCAGGGGCCGCCCATGCCACGGTGCTGTGAGTACTCCTCCATTAGCTTTCCCCACGGGCAGAGGGTGGGGTCTGCTGCTTCTTTTGGATTTCAGGTGGGCCACTCTTTTCAGAAACTCAAGGTGGGTGAGGGAGAAGGCTGGGAGCCTTTCAGACCCTCCATGCAGGCTGGGCTGGCCAAGATCCAGGTGAACCTCTGACCTCTTTTTCAGGGATTGCTCCTCTCCTTGCCACTGTTCTGCCCCCTCCCCAAGCCAGCCCTAGTCTGATGTCCCAGAGAGGACAGTGGGGTTGACATTGGTAGGCCTGGAAGTTTCCATTGCCAGGTGGATCTTGGATCACGTTCCTTTGTGTAGCTCCATCTCTGATTTATGAACGTGTTTTGTTTTGTTCTGTTGTGGGGCATGGGTGCCAAGCCCTCTCTCAGCTTCCTCAGCTCCATACATCCTTCACGCTTGCCCTCAGCAGCCTGTCAATCACATCAAGGTCACACCTTCATTGTCGCAACACAATTCTCTCCTTCCATATTCCCATTTTGACCTCCTTGGCCCCTCACCCGCCCTTGTTCACTGTGGCAACTCCCAGGTACAGAATCAGGCTTCCTCCTCCAGGAATCCCCGTATTTCCTTCATCCCCCCTGCCTAAAATCTCTGAACTGGGAGTGAGAGGGGCCCCCACCCAGTAGCTGCCACTCTGGGCAGTCCCACCTAGGCTGTGCAGGCCGGCTGGAGGCTGGTGAGGCTTTGTCCAACCTGAAGACTGGATAAGCTGCCTTTCCATACATCTGCTCTTGAGGCCCATTTCCCTGACCCCCGGGACCAGCCCCTTCTGCTGCTTGCTCTCGGGCTCCCGCCCAGTGGCGAGCCCCATCAAGGCTAGGAGGCCAGCCTGCTGGCAGGGCTGAGGTGCCTCCCAGTGCTGCATTTTAGGGTTGGGGGAATAATGTGGGGCCGCTGCACAGACATGGGCCAGCCAGGAAGAAGAGCTGGATCTGGCCTCTGGACCTAACCTCAGGAGCCTTCCCTCCCTCCCCATCAGGGCCTCCCGATGTTTGTTTTGTACTTTGGACACTCTCAAGAGGGAGGATGGTGAATAAAGGGAACTTGTGCTGCTGAGCTGCATCTCCTGTGTCTAGTGCCGGGGCTCAGAGTCTGGGCCATGGTGGGAAGGAGAGGGAGCTGGGGTGAGAGGTGTGGATGGCACTTCTCCATCTGTGACCCCTGTCCCCTCCGTGCTCTGTCTGCCCAGCTGGAACCGGAGTGACTTTGATGCCTCCCTTTTCTTCCAAGATAACTTAAAGACTTATTTGAAGTTTCACCTGCAGTCACTTGGCCCTGTTGCTTTGGGCCTGTGGTGCCCCCGTACTTGGCAGGAGCACACAGCAGAGGAGGCCTGTTCATTTCATGGCAGCTGGAAAACCAGCRGGGACCTGGGTCTCAATATCCCCTTAAAGGGCACACCCACAATTATTCCTCCAGCTAGGCCCCACCTCTTAAAGCATACCACCTTTTTAGATCCATAGGCTGAGGACCAGCACATGGTCCTTTGAAGGACATTCTAGAGTCAAACTAATAGGCTTTACAATTTAGGGGATACAGGAAATCTTCCTGCAGGAGGTAATGTTTGAGTCGGCCCTGAATGATGACTAGCAGTTAACTAAGTGGGGAGAGGTAGGGAGACCTCTCCAAGCAGTGGGAACTGTGCAAAGACCCTGAGGTAGGAAGAACATGGCTTGAACTGAGAAGTGGACATTGTAGAGGAGCATTGCCTGGATGTGGGAGCACAGTAGAGATGAGACTTCTGGGCCTGCCTTCTGTGTCTTCTCCTTTGAGTCAAATCTAGCCATCACCCCCCATCACACTCCCCCTCTCTGTTCCAGTCATATTCAAATGAGGGTGAGGGAAGGGATTTGCCCTTTAAGGGGGAAACACATTGGAGAGATTAAAGGGGGTAGAACAGCTTTGGGCCATATTCACCCTTGACTAGGGGGCCAAGAGCTAGAAGTTGGGTTTCACTTTTTCCTCATGAACAGGGAAGGAAAGGTTACATCTATGCCAAGGGCAAACTCCAGTGCCAACAGCCAGATTCATCCATTCATATTTGCACATTGTGCTCAAGACATCCCCACTTTGGTGGGCAAGGTGGTGCACACCTGTAATCCAGTAACTTGAGAGGCTGAGGCAGGAGCATCGTAAGTTTAAGGCCAGCCTCAGCAACTCAGTAAGAACTTCAGCAAYTTAGCAAGACCCTGTCTCAAATTTTTTCTTTTTCTTTTAACCAGGGATTGAACCCAGGGGCCCTTCTACTGAACCACATCCATAGCCCTTTTCATATTTTATGGTGAGACAGGGTCTTGCTGAGTTGCTTAGAGCCTTACTAAGTTGCTGAGGCTAACTTTGAACTTGCAATCCTCCTGCCTCAGTCTCTCAAGCCACTAGGATTACAGATGTTCACCACTGTGCCCAACAAAATAAGTTTGTTTGTTTGTTTTTTTTAAAGGACTGAGGAGTCAGGTGTGGTGGCACATGCCTGTAATTCCAGCAATTCAGGGCCAGCCTCAGCAACTCAGCTCTCTCAGCCTACTCACTGATCTCTGAACCGAAAAGGCAAGCCCAGGAACCTACAGACCCCATGCTACAAACCCCAATATCAGATCTCAGAAGCCTTGGATCTTCTCCCATCACTCTCACATGGAGTGGTGGAGTACACTTTACCTCCAGGCCTGTTTCTGTCTAAAGTGGGAATGCCTGGTGACCTCATGAGGGAAAAGGGAGCTAGCGTAGAGAAACTTCTGGAAACAGAATACAAGTGCTTTATAACTGAAGGCCACATTTAAAAGAAATGTGAAAATCCTTTCCAGGAGGACACACGCTGGGGCTTCCCTGACCAGCTGGAGGATCAGGGTGCTTTTCAAACTTTAATGTGCATTCAAGACACAAATTGCCTAGGACCTCCTTAGACTGCAAATTCTGATTCAGTAGGTCTAGCGCGGAGCCTGGGGTCCCTGTGGCTAACACTCCCAGTGAGGGCAGTGCTGTTGTTCTCAGAAGCCCTCTGAGGAGCAGGGGCCTAATGGACAAAGCCAAGTCCTTGGCCTCACTGAGTGAAATCTCAATGATGCCTCTCACACTGTGAGAACTCAGGGAGTTGGTTCACCTCTCCCAACACCATTTAAGTCAGCTTTAAGGTGGGAGTGACGGTTTCCACTTTGCAGAGGTAGATATTGCAAATCCAGGGCACAATAATACACGTGGAAAGCCTGGCAGATGGAAGGAATTACGTTGGACATTTCATTCTACTGGAAGTGTGTCAACTGCAGTTTTTTCCTTTGGTCAATAGAGGTCGCCTTTGCATAATTTCTGCTTATGGAGGAGGGGAACCTGTCGCTGAAAGGAGATTCCAAACAATTGAGTCACTAGGGCTCCTGGTGATTTGGCTGCTGCTTGGTAGATCTGAGCTTTATACTAGGGCAGGGCCACCTCTAAATTATGGCCTCCAGTGTGGTGCAGAACTCAGACCAATCAAATAATCAGATACTAATTGTGTAGGTACATGGGTTAGGTAGATACAGATATTACAAACCAAGATTTGGTAATGATTCCTTGATATCCTATTCCTATGATATTCAGACTGGGCGAGTGATGCACACCTGTAATCCCAGCAACTTGGGAGACCAAGTCTGAGGATTGCACGTTCAAGGTCAGCCTCAGCAACATAGTGAGACCCTCAGCCACTCAGCAAGACACTGTCTCAAGAGAAAAATGGTTGGGAATGTAGCTCGGTGGTAAAGTGCCCCTGTGCTCAATATCCAGCATCTTCCCCCAAAATTGATGCATTAGTTTAAAGAGATGCTACTTAAAACAGATACACCCTAGAATCCCAGTGGCTTAACACAATAAACATTTATGTCTGATGCAGGTGATCCTGGTCAGTACATGGACAGCAAGACTGAGGCTTAGGTCTAGCAGGTAGGTGGTTGAAAGTTTTAGATCAGTGGTTGGCCCCTGGAGTGAATAAAGTTGAAGTCCCACCCACACCCTATTTGGGCATATCACTAGACTGATTCACCCAAGTACCCAGTGGCTGCCAGTTTGGCTCAGAGCCCAGCATCACCTTCTTCTCAGTTAAGTAGCCTTCTTCTGAAAGAAACCCTTGGAGAGCCAGGCACGGTGGTGCACACCTATAATCCCAGCAGCTTGGGAGGCTGAGGCAGGAGGATTGCAAGTTCAAAGTTAGCCTCAGCAAAAAGCGAGGCACTCAGCAACTGAGACCCTGTCTCTAAATGAAATACAAAATAGGAATGTGGATGGGGCTCAGTGGTCCAGTGCCCCTGAGTTCCATCCCTGGTACAAAAAAAAAAAAAAAAAAACTTGGAGAGAGGTTGCTGCCAGGCCTGTAGTTCCAAGCAGCTCTGGAAACTGTGGCAGGAGGATCACAAGTTTGAGGCCAGCCTTGGCAACTTAAGAGAGATCCTGTCTCAAAATAAAAAAAAATTTTTTAAAGGGCTGAAGTGGTTCAGTGGCTAAGTGCTCCTGGGTTCAATTCCAAAGTGCTCCTTTGGTTCAAGTACCAAAAATAGAAAGAAAAAGAAATACTCGAAAATGAATGATAATCTCTGATCTTATTTACCTCACCCAGGGAAGAGAAACCAATACAAAGAAAGCACTTGAAATGTAACACAAGTGCTTTAAAACCGAAGGCCATGCTTATATAAGAAATGTTAAAACAGTGTCTTCTCAAGAGGACACCAGTCTCAGCTGGGCCCTGGCACCAGCACTGATGACTGAGATGGGCACCCACTGTCACCCCAGCAATGGCCTCTAGGTGAAACTAAACCATGGTGCCCCAGCATACTCTCCGGATCAGGCTGGAGCCAGTCTCCAGCTTAGGCCACTCACCTGCCCCATCCTGCTTTCCCAACTCCATCAAAAAGTCAAATTTACAAGAATTCCCATCTTATCTCAGGACTTGCTTCTGGGGAGTCCACCCAGTTTCTAAATCCTTCTCCTTCCCCAACTCCAGGCACATTCCAAGGATTGTGTATTCTCTGCAGCAACTGGGCAGGGTAGCTCCCGACTAGGGAACTTGAGGCTCAATAGAGGTCCGGGGAGAGGTGGGGGGCCCAAAACAGGAGAGTGATATGAAATTCTACAGCCTGAACTAATAGGACCTCACCTTTCTCCTCTGCCTGTTCAGAAAGGATGATAATTGGAGTATAGATAGGTGCTTGATCAGGATAAGATCCTCCACCTCTGGAGAAGGTGAATGGCCCCAGAGAAAAAAACCTACAGATACCCCAATGCAAAGGCTGGGTCCTCCCTGACACCCTGTAGGGATGGCTCCAGTTGACAAATGAGCTGCAACAAACCACACAATTTCCAGCCATCAGATTCTTGGCTATGGGTGAACAAACATAGATTTTCAGAGAGCTTTAGGGAACACTTCCAACATGAGACCAAAGTASCAATCTGAATGCAAGGCACCTCGAAGGGACAAAGTCCACACAGAAAGGAAAACCTATAGTTAATATTCTCAGAAAAGTAAAGAGGATATTTCAATTATAAAACAAGAAAGAATGCTTTAAGAAAACCACAAATTAAAAGCTAGCAACTGAAAATGAAAAGTATGACAGCCAGCCAGGCACAGTGGCACATATCCAGCAACTTGGGAGGCTGAGACAGGAGGATCACAAGTTTGAGGCCAGCCCAACAACTTAGAGACATTCTGCCTCAAAATGAAAAAAAATAAATAAAGAGGGCCGAGAATGTAGTTCAGTGGTAAAGCAACCCTGGGTTCAATGCCCTAAAAAGAAAATCAACAACAACCAAAAAGCCATTACAGAGAAATCTGGGTGTCTGGCATTACTGAGAAATTTGGATATCCAGCAACACTTGGAAACCATTACCTACAGTTGGCTGCACTCCCGCTCTCCAGTAAAGTTCCAACCTGGAAGCTTTGTTCATGGATGTGCCCTGCTTGGCTCCTGGGAATAGCTGGGTTTTGGAGACCTGCAATTAACCTTTAACCAAATCAATTCTCGTCTCTATCAGTCCTGTCGGTGTCGGCCCCCACCCCACAACCCAGCATTTTCCCTGGGACTCTGAAATGCCAGTCC